ATATATTACATTATATAAATACATATCTTGCATCTGACCGTGTCACGTCGTAAAACATATCCGACTTAAACATTTTCTATTTTAAGTGCGGCTCTGTGGGTGTGCTAAGCATTCAGTAACGCAACGTAAATGCTCACACATGCGTGACACCAACACAATGCCATACGTGAATGTGTGTGTGTGAATGGGAATATGTTGGGCGCGTGAACAGCGAAGCAATTTGCCCACTAAATGATTACTATTATTATATTATTACGGAACGCTGCGGCCATTGCCTAAACTGCGGCGGAGGCTGGACATGGTCGGTGGTGTTAGGTGGGTCGGTGGGCGGGCGGTTTGCGGTGTGTGGTCATAGTGCATGTAATTTTTTTATGCTTGCCTATAAAAAGCAATTAAATGGGCAGCAAAGTGCGAGCTATCTATCTAACACGGGCGCACTCATGCTGCGGAAATGTTATTATTTTCCCTGGAATGTGATGCGCAGCGTGAAATAAAATTAAATTACTCATTAGTGGTAGATTTGCGCTTCATTTTGGGGGCCGAAAAATGCAGACAAGTGTATTCTATTTATATTTTATTCGAGCCCAGTTGATAAATGCCTGGGCGTAAATTAAATTGGCAAATAGAAACCACAGAAATTTGGCAAGCAAATAAATTGTTGGTGGCACAAAGCTCTGACAAATGCAAAGCCACAGCACTCCCTCGGGCGCCAGTCCAGAAGTTTTGCCCATTTTTCTAGCAGTTGGCTGATAATCGAATTCCCTTGTTCTTGCTGCACAATAAATTCAAAACTTTTTGCACCTATCTGGGGCGCTAAACCTTTACCGCATGTAACTGTAAATAGTATATGTATATATATAGTATATGGAGTTAGGTTGTGTATTCCCTTGGCTGTTTGCTTCATCTTTTTGCCAAGCTAACACACATTCATGCGCTTGTGCCGAACTTTAAGATAAGGCCTACTGAGCACCCACAATCCCCACAAAGCCTGCTTAATTTCTTACCCACCAATTCCGTTGAAACCCAATTGCCAATTGTTTAATGAGCTGCTCAGTTATCCCACTTTCTCTTGTTGCTGCTGCTGCTGCTTGGACTTGTTAGTTGTTCCGGCTTACGCTTTGGCTAGTTGTATATGCTCGCTGCTGGCCATAAGCAGCGGAAACGGTTAGATAAGAGAACGAGATAGAGGGAATTTCGCAAAAAGTTGCGCATTTTAATCGAGAAACTTTTGGCTTCAGCTTTTGAAGACTCCAAAGGACAAAAATAATCACAGCAACAAGGACGAGCAGAGCAGCCAACAACAATGTGTAGCTCATATATTCCTTAAACTTGTTTCAGTTTAGCAGTCGGATGTTCTTTAATTGCTTTCTTGAGTGAGAGTTGAAACAGCAAAAATTACTTTAAGCTTTATCTATATATATAGGTATATGGTATATGGCTTACACACATCATTTTCAACAATGGAAATATTAATAATATAATATTTCACTTACATCAACTGCTCCCTCCTGCTGAACACAATACAAAGAACTTCGTGCTCTCATAAATCCCATTCGACACTCCAATTGGATTCACATCAGAAATCCATTAGCTACCCACACTTACGCCGTGACGAATTACATGGCCCGCCCGAAAGTATGCAGTGGAAATTTTTAAAATATTTATTCCGACTGCACAAAGGTAAGCAGAGTAAATAAAAGCATCAAGCAGCTCGAGTGCGATTGCAGTGCAAGCGCCCACTTAATAATCGCTGAGTGCGTGAAATTAATAAATAAATAAAAAAAAAAAGTGCACATTTCATTGGGCAAATAAGAAAGCTTCATCGGGTATTTTGATTGGCCTGGTCAAGGAGGCCGCAGTATGCAGCGTTAACATGCCTGAAGATATATCAGGAGCTGGCATTTAATCCTGCTGTTCATTTAATTAATATTGAAGACAAATAAACACCCAGAGAACGCAGCCCTTATGTAATTTTTACTGACAATAAATTGAATTTTAAGCCGCGCGTACTTATTGTTCTTGTGTGCGTGTGTGTGTCTGCAGGATACCACGAGAAATAAAATTAAATTTAACAATTTTCTGCCTGTGCATTGTTAATGTCTTTTAACGTTTGCTCTCTTTGTCCACGAACCGCAGGTATGTGCACTATCCAAACGCGCCGTAATACTCCAATCGCCGGACATGATGGCCTACAATGAGCTTCAGCCCAACAACAACAATAACAATAATAACAACAACAACAACAATGCGGGCGGCAGCACGTCAATTGCGTTGAAAGCCTCAGCCCCACAGAATATTATAGCCAATGCCGGGCTGAGCTATGAGGATGTGCTGAACGACGATTTCCAATTCGACATGGATGGCCACGATGTGATGGTATTTCTGCACATACAAAAGACAGGCGGCACATCCTTTGGACGGCATTTGGTGCGCGACTTGGACCTGAAGGTGAGCTCAAAGCTCAATAAACTATCGACATAATCCCAACTACTTCTTCTCTCTTAGCGTCCCTGCGAGTGCCAGCGCCAGCGCAAGCGTTGCTATTGCTTCCGTCCGCATCGCAACGAGAACTGGCTCTTCTCCAGATACTCAACCGGCTGGAAGTGCGGCCTGCACGCCGACTGGACGGAGCTGACCAGCTGTGTGGACGCTGAGCTGGACAAGAACGAGGGCGAGACGGCCAAGCGTCGCTATTTCTACATCTCGCTGCTGCGCGAGCCGATCTCACGCTACATGTCCGAGTACCGCCATGTGAGACGCGGCGCCACATGGAAGGGCTCCCGGCACTGGTGCCTGGGCCGGCAGGCCACGGCCGCCGAGCTGCCGCCTTGCTACAAGGGCAAGGACTGGCTGGATGTCGATCTGGATCAGTTCGCTGGCTGCGAGTCAAATCTGGCGGCCAATCGGCAGACTCGCATGCTGGCCGATCTCGCCCTGGTGGGCTGCTACAACAAGTCCTCGATGCCGGCGCACGAGCGCGATCGAGTGATGTTGGCCAGCGCCAAGCGCAACCTGGCTGCCATGGCCTACTTTGGACTGACGGAATATCAAAAGGTTAGTCGTTAGTTTAGTTAGTTAATCTGCATAACTTATCACTTAACCCTCTCGCCACACAGATGTCCCAATATATCTTCGAGGAGACCTTCAACCTGCGCTTCGCCATACCCTTTGAGCAGCACAATGCCACGATCTCGGCAACTGCCGTCACGAATCTGCGTCCCGATCAACGACGACTCATCGAGAAGCTGAATAGCCTGGACATTGAGCTTTATGCATTTGCCAAGAATTTGCTATTCCAGCGGTAAGTACTTCTGGAGATCTGATATGATGAACATAGATTAAATAAAAGAAACGATAAATAACGTTTAAATTAGTATTAGGTTTAGTCTGAGTCTATATTTGCTTAGTTTTAATTTTGTAATACAGCCAAGTTAAAAAAGCTAAATAAAATTAGAAAAATATAAAGTGCCTAAAATATTAGTTATACCAAAAATCATGCGACTTTTTAAAAAACAATACAAAAAAATAAAAATAATAATAATTTAAATTATAAATAATCTATCAACATATTTGACAAAGAAATTGTCATAATAATATGATAAGAAAAAGGGAATTTCATATTGAAATAATAATTTTATAATCGACGCCTTTAGCCGTAAATTAAGTAACTCCGCTCCTATACAGAAGTAGTGCACTTCTCTATCAATAATCAATTATAGCTGCAAATCACATTAGGCATAAGCAAATAGCATAATGGATATTGATTTTCAATTTAAATATTTGCCACTCTTGGCACTCTTGTCTCGGCACTTTTCTTCTCCCTTTGAATCAATAGCATCATCGGAATTTAGGGCTTATACATACATACATACATCCTCTATTAATAGCTACATAATTGTATTATGTGCATTGAGAAGCATTGTTTGCGCATAAATGTGAAACTCCAATGGATTCTCAGTTGCTTTTGGTATTCTGTATTCTGCTCCCGACAACGTGTTTGTCCGGACGGAGAAACCTGATCCTGATCCTGATCCAGGGGTCCCTTTCAGTTGCCACGCATATTGCGCCAGCTCCTCAATGGAAAAGAATCGCGCAGTTTCTGCTAAGGTCGATGACTCATTGTGAGTCCTTTTCATGCCTTTGTGTGTGTGCGTATGTGTGTGTGTTGAGGGTGCGAAACCCTTTCTTGTGTGGCAATCGAAGTGTATTGACATCGAGTCGAGGCAACAGACACAAACGGCGTCTGATGTGCCTACTTTTAAAGGCGACTGTGCTATTATAATTTCTTGGGGTTATTTTTGGCGCATTGAGTGCTAATGGAATTTGGCTATGCCTGATCAGGCATGGGAAATTGTCGGCGTTGTTCTGTTGCTCAATGAAATATCTTCAATTTTGTTGGGTGTTTATTAATGATCTTCATGCGATATTCAGGAATGGTAACTGAAAGGAAATACCTTAGGTGATCATGTTTAGTCGTGATCAATACTGATCAGGAGTTGCACTTGATAATGATCTTTTGTTAATGATCTTTTCTTGAATGAATATGAAATACGGAACTTCTATTACGATCGCTAGATGAAAACGAAGTTAACGCTTCGTTTGATCTGCTGCAATCATAAGCAACTGCATATTTACTTCAATTCACTTGAATGGCGAAGCATCGCAACTTGTCTGGAATATTTCACACATAAGTAATTGAAGCAGTCCACAGTTGAAGATATCAGCATTTAGCTTTGGCCAACTGTGCTCTTGCTACCCTATGAGCTCTAAGAGGTATACAAACTGTTGCAATTTACACGGGAAGAGCCAGCTGCCCGCTTTGCCAATGGCTCTGGCTCTGGCTCTGTCTGTGATTGCTGCTGTCTGTGCAACATAAACAATTTACCTTGGACAGGCCAGGCTGTCTGTCGCCTCCTTATCATAGAGCAAACAGGGTTCATGCAATGTAATAGGGAAGGAAGGAAGGAAGCAAGTAAGCACCGGAACCCTAAGACGCAATTCCTTTGACATCTGCACAATTCAGCAGTTTTGGCAGTTGCGGCAATCCCGCTGTGCGCTGAATATGTGTATATGAATATCTGTATGATCATATATATATGTGAGTATATGTATAGTTACAATTTAAATATGTTTATGAGGTTTTCCATTTACCTATTGATATGTGGCTGAAGTGTTGTGTTGTTGTTAGCTGTAAATTCTTAGGCTTATGATTGATCACTTATCCATATGAAAATATGGGTCATAAGAATAATGCAATTAATGCTACGAAATATTTGAAAAATGTTATTATAATTTCAAATATATGTCATATATTGTTATAATATTTTATCAATGCAATTCTGTCCTTCTTAAGCTATTCTGTTCCACCTTTCATGTATTTTCAATTTTAAATGATTCAATAAATGATTCAATCAATTTTAAATGATTTATATAAATTGAATATGTGATTCGTGGCTTCAGTCTTGGGACTTGTCAATCCAATAGATTTACCTGGGATTTTCTCGTCCATCTCCTCTTCCCATGCAGCTCTCTTGTCGGCAGTTCATTTACCTTCGCTATATGGTAGCTGGCATTAATCGATTTAAATCTGCTACAGGCGCAACTTAATTTAGCCAAACCAATTGCCAGGCGAGCTAATGAAAACGCGCAGGCGCGACGCTTTGCATTTTAATTTACGCAGTTGGTTTTCCACGACTTTTCCTTTAATGATGCGGGTCGAGTGTCAACGTTATGCTGGCTGCCAGCTGTGGCAGCGGCACCTTTTTCGCGCTGGGAGTGGGGGGCATTAACGGCCACATAAATACATATACATGTATACAAATATATGTATTACGAGTGTGCTCTATGTGATTGCAGGGCACAGCTGTCTAGCTACACACACACACACACAAATACCCATGAGTCTTAAGGTATGCCTTGGCTGTCTTGGCAATTGCAACATTTGCGCGCGCCAAAAGTAAAATTTCTATAGTTCACACAAGATAACGATAAGGTAGTGTGCGAGTGTGTGTGTGTGTGAGCGTGTGGCACGAACCACCACCGAAAAAAAAGGCAACCCTCGATTACCTTTTAGCTGGCTATGTGAGGGTTGTTTTAGGTCGCGATCGGCTGCCTTTGCGCCGTCTCAGCTCGCAACGCTTCAGTTAGGTTTTGACAACGGAACGCGTAGGAACACAGCTAGAGACACAGCTGCAACAAGGGGCAAGCGGGTAGAGGGCAGCTCACAAAATACATTAAAAACAAAATCAACAACAACAACAACGGACTAAACAGTAGAGCGAAGCATTTAACGGACATTTGTTAACGAGTTTTATATAAGAGTTCATGTTTTGTGTTTGTAAACTGAAATTGTTTTATTGAGTTTTTGTTATTGAAAAGCAATTTGTTAACCACAAAGCATATAATTAAAGGAAGCAAGTGTTAAATTGTTAAAGAAACCAAAGCGAATACCAAACAGAAAGAATTATGTCGTTTTCCAAAGCCAAATTGAAGCGTTTCAATGATGTGGACGTCGTTTGCGGCTCTCCAGCTGCCTCCGCCAACTCGAACAGCTCGGCTGGCTCCACGGGCTGTGCCACGCCCACAGCGGCTGCTGCAGTGACTCAGACGGCGCCGCCGCCCGAGCGCAAGGAGCAAATCGAAAAGTTCTTCAAGGATGCGGTGCGATTCGCCTCCAGCTCCAAGGAGGCCAAGGAGTTTGCCATACCCAAGGAGGACAAGAAGTCGAAGGGCCTGCGACTCTTTCGCACACCCTCGCTGCCGCAGCGCTTGCGCTTCCGTCCGGCGGCCAGTCACACAGCGGAGCAGGTGGTGGGCAGCGGAGCCTCGACGGCGTCCTCCACACCGCTGCACTCGGCCACAACGACGCCGGTGAAGGAGGCCAAGTCGGCGAATCGGCTGAAGGGCAAAGAGGCGCTGCAGCAGGAGATACGCAACAAGAACGAGCTGATCGAGAGCTATATGAGCCAGCTGGACGTGGTGCGCCGTCACGTGGACCAGCTGAAGGAGACGGAGCAGAAGATGCGTGAGGAGCACGAGCAGACAGCGGCCAAGACGGAGCAGTTGTTGCAGGCGCTGAGCAGCGAGAATCTCTCGCACAAGCAGCGCAACGAGCAGCTGAGCGCCGAGCAGTCGCAGTTGATGGAGCGCTACGCCCAGCTGGAGCAGCAGATGCAGCTGCAGCGGGAGGAGCACGAGAAACAGGTCGAGCGTCTGCTGGCCGAGAACGAGGCCTACAAGTTGGCCAACGAGCAGTTGCAGCAGACCTGCGAGCAGCAGCAGACGGCACAGCAGCAGCTGGAGCAGCAGCTCGGATCACTCCAAGAGGAGGTCACCCAGGCGCGTGAGAACTGCAAGGCGGAGCAGCAGCGAAACAGCGAGCACTTGCAGCAGATCGAGAGCTTGCAGGCGAAGAATGCCGAGGTGCTGGCCAATGTGGAGCAGCTGAAGCATCAGATCGAGCAGGACGCCTTGGCCTATGGCCAGGAGACAAAGATCACCCAGACGGAGCTCGAGTGTCTGCGCGTGGAGCGCAACACTCTGAAGAACGACCTGGCTAACAAGTGCACGCTGATACGCTCGCTGCAGGACGAGCTCCTGGACAAGGCCTGCGAGATCGACGCCCACTGCGACACCATACGCCAGCTGTGCCAGGAGCAGGCCAAGCGCACCGAGCAGCAGCAGGCCCAGCAGCAGGCGGAGAATGAGCTGGAGAGTGCCGTGGAGCGCGAGAAGAGCTACTGGCGCGCCGAGCTGGACAAGCGACAGAAGCTGGCCGAGAACGAGCTGATCAAGATCGAGCTGGAGAAGCAGGATGTGATGGTGCTGCTGGAGACCACCAACGACATGCTCCGCCAGCGCGACGAGAAGCTGCAGAAGTGCGAGGAGCAGCTGCGCAACGGCATCGACTACTACATCCAGCTGAGCGACACGCTGCAGCAGCAGCTGGTGCAGCTCAAGCAGGACATGGCCAAGACCATCACCGAGAAGTACAACTACCAGCTGACCCTGAACAACACGCGCTCCACGGTCAACATCCTGATGGAGCGGCTCAAGAAGTCCGATGCCGATGTGGAGCAGTTCAAGGCGGAGCTGGAGTCGGTGCAGCTGGCCAAGGGCGCCCTGGAGCAGAGCTATCTGACGCTGCAAGCGGATGCGGCACAGCTGCGCCAGCAGCTCAATGAATCGCAGGCGGCGCTCGAGGCGCTGCGCAGCTCGTCGGCCACCCTGCAGCAGGAGGTATCGTTGAAAGAGTCCATGCTGCACGAGCTGCTAGCGAGCGAATCGGATACCCTGGCCAAATTCAATAAGATTGCTAACTCATTCCAGGAGCGCATCGACGGGGATGCCCAGCTGGCCCACTACTGCGACATGTACAGCGATCTGAAGCGCAAGGATGAGACGCGCGAGCTGTACATGGCGGACATGAAGAAGGCCCTGGATGAGTTTGCCACCGTGCTGCAGTTGGCCCAACTGGAGCTGGACAACAAGGAGCAGCTGCTGGTGAAGGTGCGCGAGGAGTGCGAGCAGCTCAAGCTCGAGAATATCGCACTGAAGTCCAAGCAACAGCCCGCCGTGGCAATGCTGACGCCCAGCAAGGCCAACAAGCCGAACACCACAGATCTGGAGAAGATTGAGGACTTGCTGATCGATTCGGAGCTGCGTGCCGAATGCGACAAGATCACCTCGTGGCTGCTGAACTCCTCCGAGAAGAGCGTCCGCCAGGACAACAACAACGAGCTCACCGAGCTGCTCGCCTGCAAATCGCCCAAGGCCCGAACTCCACGCACACCTCACAGTCCGCGCACGCCGCGCACCCCCCGCTCCGCGGCCAGCACACCCAAGAAGTCGTTAATCTTCGCCAGCGGCAAAGAGAACGTGCCCAGTCCGCCCCAGAAGCAGGTGCTCAAGGCGCGAAATATGTAGGCCACCATTTCCAACATAATTTCACGAAAATTCCAACTTTAGGCTAAATTTCTACACATTAAATTATAAATTAGTTAAGAAAACAACAACAACACTCTCTATATGCATATATATATACCGTATATGAAATACATGATGTGCTTTGCTGCCACTACAACAATTAGAAAACTCGTTTTGATTTCCTGCCACAAGTTTTCCCAACCCTCCCTGGAAAGCAACAGCAATAGCAGAAGCAAAGGTAAAGGCAAAGACGAATCAGTCAATGGGAACTTTACAGACTTGCGACTTCCTTCTTGGCACTTCCTCGGCCGGAACGGATGCGGCTCGAGGCGCAGCAGCTGTGCAGCTGCGCATGCGTGGCTTAAGGGTGGGCACACACACACACAACAGCAGCAACACCACCAACAGCAACAACAACAACAATTATTAACAAGCTCGAGCTAAAGTCTAGAGCTCGCACTCACTCGAGGGGTTTTTCCTTTAAGGTACCGTTGTAAAATCTGCTGCCTGTCGCCTATTTTTATTTTATTTTTTCCTCTGCTTCTCGTTTTTGTTCGGGTTCGTGTTCAGGTTCTGCATTGTACAATTGCTGCTGATGATGACCTTTGACATTATGCGGCAACAATGGCTCCGGGCCATGCCAAGGTACATTGCGTGCACTTCTTCTTCTTCTTCCTTCTTCGCTTCTAATTATACAGCTGCACTGAGCGCAGCTGCAGCAACAATTGGGTTTTGATTTGGCTTGAGGATTGTGGAGAGACAAATACAAAAAATACAAAAAATCGTAGTAAACATGGGACAGAGGGTTGAATTGGTTAAGAAAGTTCTCAAACCCAACAAATCGGTTTACTACCTTTTGGTTTTTTGTAACGCGTACGTGGAGTTTGCTTGTAAGAATGAGAAAGTGAGCTTGGTTATCTGAAACTTTTCGAAACGAGGTACAGTATGTGTCAAATAACAGCGAAAGTCGCAGAATTCAGTCGCTATGTTGATTAAAGGATTCATACCTATGCATATTTCTGAGTATATTCCAAATATTCCACAAAACTTTTCTGCTCACATTGAGATAGACTCGCCTACTTAGGCAGCTGGCACGGGTCAGGTATTTAGGTGTATTTCTGCATACAGGTAGTTACCGTCGCATATAATAGAATTCCATTTAAAAGACCTTAGGTGAATAGCAATTGTCATACGAAGGCTTAGCAGCTTACAAGTAAGAGCATATTCTTGTATTATATTGCTTATATGGCTAAGAACTACATATATGGAAATTACCATATTCTCTTAACTTCCAGATTGTTCTTAATAATTTTAATATTAACTTATAAAAACTCGAGTTCTCTATATCTATTTGAATACAGACTGTAAGCTCTTATGTTATGCACTTATAATAATATCTATTATGAATCGAAAATCAAAGATTGAGATCTTAAATTTGTATTATATCATATCATAAATTATTACAATATATTACCATATAAAGGATAACTTTTAATGCTACATTTCGAATCAGTCTCTAATGAAATTATACATACAATCAAAATATTATTAAATATTTAGTTAAAATAAAATTCCCCCTTCGTTTCTCACTTTCAGCTTTGAGCATCTGAAAGCGAAAGATGCTAATTTTGCGCAACGCTTCGCTAATCTGGGCAACATATTTTACAAGCAGGGCGTCACGGAATTCAATTGGGATAGCAACATAGAGGATGCGCTGAGCACGGATCACTGAACGGATCTTCAAAACCAAATATTAATGTTTAGCATTTAGTTGATAAGGAATGCGAATCGTCTGCAACAAACAGAGCGAAGTAGCGAACAGTGAATGAAATTGATGCAGTAGAGAAAAGAAAAACAAAACAAAGGACTTTAAACTAGGCTTAAGCATAATGTTAACAATTATTATAAACAAAAGCTCGAAATACTATACATAAATAAGTATATGTATACATATATATAGATATATGTGTACACATACACATAAACGCAATCAAAAAGCAAACCTAATTATACACACAGCAAAAGGCAGAAATATTAGCAGCTCTCATAAATGTAACGAAATGCTGAACAAGCTGTTAGATATCCTACTTACGTACATATAAACAAACAACACTCCTTGCTGATAGATAAGTCGTAGTGCCCGATCACACGCATACTCTCTCGTATATTGTAAATAGATCTACGTATCSTACAAGTAAAATAATAATAATATTTAAATACACTCAGCGCATAAACTACACGCCATAATTTAGTTGTAACTCTAATTAAATATATAATTATTTTTTGTAATCGATAACTTCTGTTACGTAAAGCCAAATCTACATTTAGTGCATAGCTCTGTTGAGAACAAAAACAAACACATAAGCAAACATTAATTTCGATCCAAATATGCATTTATTTTTTTTTTTTTAACAATTTAGCACAGCATGTAAATACCATAAAACAAAACATAAACATAAAAATAAAATTATCACTAAGTTTTTAATTTTGAATAAACTTTTTTTTACAAATTATATTATAAAGCGTTAAATATTTTTAGCTGGCATAATTATTTAAGACAATAATTAATTGAAAAAACAAAAGTGAAAAGGAAATATTGAAATCGCAACAAATATGAAAAAAAAAACCTCGTTTAACGCAAAACCAACGAATTATGAATAAATAGAAAAACCCCCAAGAAATCAATGAATGTGGCTCAAACATTAACTGCATATAGATATATAAAGTAAGGCGAAAACTGATTTGTGCCATTTTATAGCAACACACAGAGATTCTACAAAATAAATCGAATTAGATTAAAATAGCAAACAAATAACCAAATTGACTTGGCGGAAACGTGGGCAAATGTTTATCTGAACTATTCGAAGTTTTTCGATTTGTTAAACGAAACAAGCAAATACGACGAAACAGACTTTTGGGCATGTGAAAGAATATATATATTTATCAATAGTATATATATCAAAGGTCGAAATGAATAAATTCAATACATAATAATAAAATATAAAATAGTGTTTTATTTTCTGGTTTAAGATAAGCTGAGCTKTGCTCTTCTTCATTATTTAATTTATATATGTTATATATCAGCTCATTTAAGATTGCCTTTCCTCAAATTCCCCTTGCCTTCCCCTAGTTATTTCGTATTTTACATGTGTTATGTGAATAGCATTTCAATTATCACCTTTGATTCCATTGTGTCGCTGCTTTTTTTATATTTTTTCCCAGACACTTCCTGTAAATTGAAAACAGTAAATTAATTTCATTATTTAAGTAAATTTTGTATTTAGCCCGTGCTATTTGATTAAGGTCTTACTCTTACGTAGTTGCTTTCATAACAATGCAAATTAGGCAATGCAAAATACTTGGATAAAACGTAATAGTTGAGTCTATATGACTGCGAAATACCCTGCACACAGCAAATAACTCGACAGCGCACAAAAATGTTTTGCTGAAACGGTGTTTGCAAAAAAATAGCGAATACACCTGTCATCACTGAGTACAGGGTATACAAATTAATACGTTTATTTTTCAATCGATGACATATATCGTTCTGGCAACTAATTTGCACCCAATTTGAGCTAACAGCTAAAACAAACTCCAGTTTTTTCCTCGTCAATGGAAATGAGGCCGCAGAGCTCAGTGCTCGCGTTAGTGTCGGCCACTGAAGATGATGAAGGCCAACGATGCGATCTGTAAGCGGCGCAGATCCTCTGCACCGCCACCTGGTGTCGACATTGTGCAGCACATCAATGGGAATTTCGGACGCTGGCAGCTGCGCACGATACTTCTAATATTTCTATGCAAAATACCCACGGCCTGGTTCATGGCCTGCATCATTTATACGGCGCCCTATCCGCAGCGCGGGGAACTGGTCTGTCGCTCGGCGAGCTGGAATGCCAGCGAATCGCTGCCCAGTGAGAGTCGGAACACGGATCGGCTGTTCAGCGTGCAGGTGTGCAATGCCTATGCGCAGAGCTTGTCCCACAACTTTGTGCAGCGCTATGGAACGAGCTGGAACGGAACGCAGCAAGTTATGCCCTGCGAGCGCGTCGAGCACCATGCGGAGTACAAGTCGCTGATCGTGGACTTCGATTTGATATGCTCGCGTCGTGTGCTGGTGGCGGTCACCCAATCGTTTCATGCGCTCGGCGCACTAATTGGCGGTCTACTCGCATACCAGGCACTCCAGCAGTGAGTCTGCGCCTGGCTCTTCCATGAATCTGTAAGCCATCTGAAAACTTTCCACTTTCAGCATTAGTCCGCGTCGTTTGATGCTGCTCGGCATGCTGGGCCAGATCTTTTGTGGCAATCTGACGGGTCTGGTGGACACCTATCAGCTGCACATCTACTTCCGTTGCCTCACTTCCGTCTGCTGCACGCTCATGTACACAGCCGGGCATTTCATATGTAAGCAAAGACAAAAGACTTAAGACACGAACTCGCTCTCAGCTTTTGGGCTATTTATTAGTAATGGATATCACCTCGGGCAAGGCACGCATCTTGGTGGTCACGCTCTCGGAGCTCTTCTGGTCCATTGGCTTGGTGCTGCTGCCCGCCATATCCATATACTTCGATAACTGGAGTCATCTGTATGTGGCCATATCCTCGTCCTTGATTGTGCTCGTCTGGCTGCATCGCTGGATCTCGGATGCTCCGCGCTGGCTGCTGCGCCACCAGCGAGTGGAGCAAGCGCTACGTTTGCTCCTGGAGTCGGCTACGCATAACAATCGCATGGTGCCCCTCACTCTGGACGTCAGGCTGACCATCTATGCCAGCGAACTCAAGGCCCAGCAGCGCATCGGCTATTGCCAAATCTGGGACAAGGAGACCAAGCGTCGTCAGCTGATCTACATACACCTGATCTGGGGCTGTGCTCAGGTGCTGTACAACATTATACTGCTGATGATTCGCAGCCTGGGCGAGGCGCAGGTTCATGTGAATACTGCCGCCCTGGGCTTTGCCGAAATGGTCGGCCTCTTTGTGGGCCTCTACTTTATACTCTACACGCGCCGCTACTGGCGCTGGGCCGGCAATCTGATGATCGTCGCCGGGCTGTGCACCTATCTAGTGTGGCTGCTGCCAGAGACAGGTGGGCATATATATATATATTAATATTCTCATCTATCAGCCAACTATAACATTCGCTTCTTTAGATCGCAATTCACGCCGCGTCGGCTTGGAGCTCATATTTTGGATGTTGCTGAAGTTTGCCAATGCTGCTTCCATAGCTGTGCTGACCACGTGCACGGGCGAAATGGTGTCGCCGGAGAAGCGAGTGCTGCTCATGCTCTCAGTGGTTAGCTTCGGCCGGATCTGCTTGGTGTTCTCGCCGCTGCTGAGCACGCTGACTGTGGTGCATCGCCTGCTGCCCATTAGCATAATTGCGACAGTGGGCTGGGTGTACGGCCTCTTCATGCGGCTGCTCAACCGCTACTACTGGAATACGGAGCAGCTGCAGGTGGGTCAGGTGCCGACGCCAAACACCTATCGCCGCAACTCGGCCGTGATCATGCGCCGCTGCAGCACCGCCAGCTCCGACGTGAGCAACTACAGCAACGAGCTGCTCCACAACTTTGAGCAGACAGTCGCCGTGAGCATCGCAGATCTGTGGCACATCAACTTCGATACGATCCATGAGTGCGACAGCACGAACGAGATCAGTGACGTGGCTAGCAAATCGCAGAGCACGCAAACCATTTGAATTTTATGTCACTGCCCAAAAGTAGACAACACTTTCCTTAACAGCAGCTTTTGCCATATAAAATTATAGGCGCCTAAGTTATAGATTCTATATTATAGATATAAGAAAAGTGTATTTATAGTAATTTAACAATAAATGTATTAGAGACCCGCCCTTCACACGTTTTTGCACAGACATTTCAGCCGGATCAGTGGAGTGAAATTGCGGTTTTCAGTCTGTCTATGCGTAAAGTATTGCGTCAATTCGCTGCTAATTAAATTAAAGAAAATTACGTTCATTATAGCTGATTAATATTAAACTAATGTGTGATATATGAACTCAATATTAGAAAATATTTAAAGCGCGTGATGATCGAAATGTCAACAGCTCGAACTGGCATATATTATTGCAAGTGTCTTTATATCATTGATCGATTGTCGTTGTTGAGTCAGAAGATGTGTCTAACATTTATTATTAAATAGTTAGAATACTAGTTTATTATAATATACGGAAAGTGTTATATTAAAATAAATAACTATTTATTTATTTCTTTATACAGTAGAATCCGGTTATAACGACTCTTATAGACAGATGCTTATACCGTCTGTACGGTTATAGCGACGAAAATTCTGATACCTAGACTAATTTTTATGAGCAAAATTATACAGTTATAGCACCTTCCGGGTAGATCGACGGTCCCTTGAGTGTCGTTTTAACCGGACTCTAATAAATACATTAAAAACATATAAAGAATTTTATTAT